AGAAATAGCCAGACAATATGTAAATAAGTAGTTCCTATGTATTATGTAAGGAAGGAATTAATATTTTTTCCTCGGTCGATTACAATATTCCAGTAAACATAATAGACAAAAATATTTGTACAAATAGTTTTGTTAAGTCTTATTTTTAAATGCTGACTGGAAATATAATAAAAGTAATAAAGACAAAATAATTCCTCGATCATGAAATTTTCGAAATTATTATAAATAATAAAATGTAAGAACAACCAAATGTCTTTAAGAAATAATAAAGTTAATATTTAAGCCAGGAAAAAGAAATTGTAGACTATTCTACTCCTAAATGCAATATCTTTAAACAGGAAGACATTATTAAGTATACCAAAACTAATGGTCTGTATCTTTGTTAATAATTGTCCGAGTTTTACAATTTTTTTTTTGTAGGTAATTTAGTAATCTTTCTAATTACCATGGGTACAATTCAGAAAAAAATGCATACTTTTTGTTATTGGCAAATAAAGGTTCATTTCCTTTATACATTTTTTTCCAGAAATTTCTAGGGGATCGGACTATTTTTCGCATGTGAAGGAGAAGAATATCTTCAAAATGAGTGGTCAATCATTGGATTTGATGAAAAATTGAGGAAGTTATGGCGTACCGCCAAAAAAAAAAACACCTTTTAGAAATTGTAGGATAGTCGTCAGATTCCATGAGATTAAGTTAATCGAACTGTTGTTTGAACATTTGTTTTTCGAAACTATTTTTTGCTCTTCAACTCCCTAACACGGCGTACACTGGGACGATATTTTCATATAATTTTCTTGGAAAGATTTGGCTTTCGTTAAATAATATTAATGTTTAGAAATTTTTATCCATATGTGCTTATTTGTTTTAAGCGAAGTATTTTATAATAATATAAAACTAAGCTGTGTTTTTACTTCAGCACATTTATTTCATTTTTACATCGGCTAAGTTTCGGCTAGTGAGCCATATTCAAGCCATATCATTCTGTCATCCACTAATAGTCCTTCATTCTTCTTTAATTGACTTCCAAATCGCCTCAATCCTTGACCCGTTTAACCTCTGATTGTTCATGTCTAAATCGAGATGTGCTTATTTGTTTTAGGTGAAATATTAAGGAGATTCGGAAGTCATTTAAAGAAGACTTAAGCACTATTAGTGAATTAAAGAATGATATGGCTTGAACATAGCCTACTAGCCCCAACTTAGTCAATGTAAAAATGAAATAAATGTTTCGAAGTAAAAATCCAGCCTTATTTTATATTATTATTTATAATTGTTTCTCCACCTATCATTATCTAGTACCTTTTATGAATTTATAAATTAAATATTATTTTTTCTAAAATTCGCAGCTTTCCGACGATATATTACACATATATACTCTGATTTTTACTTCTGCAAATTTATTTAATCAAAAACATTTTCCATTTTTCCCCCAATTAGTTAATTATTAATTTTTTTCAAAGTTTATATTTCGTAATTATTTTATTGCTACTGACTATGAGAGACAGATAATAATTTCAAATAAACCATAATAAGGGTACTTTAAAAGAAGAAATTTTGAAAATTGAGTATTTAAGCCCTTTAAAACGACTTCACTGAGAATAAGATCAAGCTGATATTAAACACATTGATTTTAAGTGGTTAACCAAAATCGTTAGAGGCGTTTTTGAGAAATATTTAAAAATGTGTAAATGGAAGTTCCAGGCAATGGAAAGCGATGTAAACGTATAAATTTAACAGATTCGATGGATAAGGGAAGAATACATGGTAATTAACTGTTTTAAATTAAGTTATACCATCGTTATCACTTTTACTTCTCTATTTATGATAATACCAATCGATTTCAAGGTTGGTAAGTGAAAGTTGTGTGATGGGTGAACCGCACCATATTTTTTAATGATAGTTCTTCTCGTATGTTCTGCCAGATCATTTAATTAATTTAATACATCGAATTAGAATAATTTATCTTCCAACTTATAATGTATAATTTATCTTAATACGTAATCATATTCACTTATTTTAATTATATGTACATATATAATTTACATGTTAATTTCGATTCCTCTAGTTTCGTTGTCTCTCTTGTTTCCTTCTCTTATGTTTAAAAAATTGTTTCTTTAGTTTAAAAACAACAACATTTTATTTCTTTTTGTATGCAATGGTTTAATGTAAGAAAAACTTCTTCCAAGTATGTATTGCTTCATCACTATGTTCATTGGTTACACTAAGTCTGTAATTTTTCGTTTTAGAATATAATTTTCAGAATAAGCCGTTTCTGAAATACAGTAATGCCAACATTCGTGGGTTTGATATCCCATGACTTTAGTTCATCAACTGCCTTCCACATGTGGGGGAAAAAGCCTGGCTCGGAGATTCTTGGGCGAATGTATATATTGTATATAGGTATGATTGTGTTTATAAGTTTCTTTTATGTTATTGTTTATTTATTTTTTTTCTTTTATTTTCTTTCTTCATCAGTATTATTTATTTACTTTTTATATTTATATTTATTTCTCTATTATTTGTATATATTGTTTGAATGAGAACTCTTAGCCCTAATACTTATAGCCCTCCAGTGGCTGATTTTATTATTATTCAATAAATAGATAAAAAAAAAAAAAAGTTCATCAGTGAAAATTAGAATCAACAAGAGTTTCACATTTGTGAATGGCATATTTGACGGTTATAAAAAAAAAAATTCACGAATTTAAACAATTTCCTGTACAGGATGTATCGATATATTGAATATGCATATCTGAGTCATTCTTATTACCACCGCTGGTTGAGTTTGAAAAGAAAGAAAAAAAAACACAGTCACGAATAAGACATTTTATTTTACAGACTCATAGCAAAAATTAATTTAAATTTACAATTATACATATTTATGTGTAAATTATGTTTATATGAGTATATAATACCAATCGATTTTAAGGTTGGTAAGTGAAAGTTGACTTTTCAATGATAGCTTAACTTAATAGAACGAACTAGAATAATTTATCTTCCAACTTACTATGTATAATTTATTAATTTATACGTAATCACATTCACTTATTTGAATTATATGTACATATATCCATGTCTTTTCGCTTAAATCGAGCAATGGAGTCCTACATCGAAAAATTGACCCTATAGTCACGATATCAAAACTATCATTAAGATACGGTGTAACAGTGCCCACTGAACTTAGTTCTAACCATTTTCGGTACCAATAAACTCTCTTATTTATCACCTCTTTAGCTAGAATATGTGGCAAACGAAAACAGGGTATCTCCAGGACTTTCAAAATATAGTCGAAATGAATTTTAAGTGTGTTATAGTATAGGCGAGACCGGTTTCGTATGCCAAAACATAATTAGGTGAATACCTTACCCATATACATATATTCAACTTAATCATCAAATTTTCGTAACCTAAATAATTAAATAATAATTAATTATAGCCCAAGATTTATAAATATCGCTTGAAAACCTTTGGAAAAGATTCCAGGGACGCAGATAGCACGCTTAGGGCAGATGCGGCCACGAGGCCGCAGGTTCTCCACCTATGGTATATAATTTATAAATTATACTATGATTTATTGATACTTATGAATTTTCTAAAAATATATATTCAAATTAATGGGAGCTGGATGAGAGATCTCACCTAAATCAAAGAAATAAATAATGACCAGGAAGAGGTGCTGCTGGATACTATCCTTGATCATGCCTATAATTCCTATCCTCATCATCACAACACATCTGCTGATTGTCAACACCATTACAGGTGCGCATAAATAGTCAAACAGAAAAAAAAAAATATATATATATATATATGTTTGGTCCAACCCAAAGATTCCCAGAATATCATGTATATGAGAAGAGAACCAAACGATCTCTGCTAGAGGACTCATGGCGTAAGAAAAAAGCCTTTGTGTACACATCAACAAATAAAGAAAAGTTTTTCAGCAATTGCTATTAACAAAATTTATAACTTTTCAAACATTCTGTTTCAATCATAACCAAAAATGCTTCATATATTTTGTAATAACCTGAAATATACTAAATTAAGAACCGGCCTAAAAGCACATTATATATAAAATCAAACTATTTCAATAATTACCTCACTAGTTGGCCCATGCGAAGAATTCTCAGAAAATTTTGTTTAGTGAAGAAATAGCAAAACAATATCGAAATAAGTAGCTCCTATGTATTATGTAAGGAAGGAATTATTATTTCCTTGGTCGATTACAATATTCCATTAAACATAATAGACATATTGCATGTATTCCAGCATGTACATATTGCTTTGACTTTGCTAGGAAATATTTTTAACCTCTGATTGGAAAGATATTAAAAGTAATAAAGACAAAATAATGCCCCGATCATGAGATATTCTAAATTATTAAAAAATATAAAATGTAAGAACAACCAAATGTCTTTAATAAATAATAAAGTTAACGTAAGTATAATAATGGACTGCATCTTTGTTAATAATTGTCTGATTTATACGTTTTTTTTTTGTTTTGTAGGTAATTTAGTTGAGAAAAATGCATACTTTTTGAGTTATTCGACGAAAATAAAGTTTCTTTTCTTCCATAACTTTTTTCCAGAAATGTGGGGGGGATAGGACTATTTTTCGCAAGTAAAGAAGAAGAATATCTTCAAAATGAGTGTTCAATCATTGGATTTGATGAAGAATTGACGAAGTTATGGCGTACTGACAAAAATACCCCTTTTAGAAATAATATATAGGATTGTTCGTCAATAATGATATCTTATAGATGGGTTTAAAATAAATTAAATGAGATGTAAAAATAATTATATTGCAATCAATTTCTGATATTTGGGAAGAGTCTGAATAAAATGTTGATTACGGCAGCATTTTAAAGAAATAATAAAATGAATAGGCTAGGGAAAAGGAAACATTTCCAACCAAAAAGTAACACTTAGATATCATTATAATAATATAATTAAATTAATTAATTATTATAATAAATTATAAAAGAATGTTTAAAAAGTTACTATATAGCAGAAGCGTTGATATCTAAGGCCACAGGCAGTTCCAAGTCTACTGCTTTAATTTTCAGCATTACCTTGTACACGCAGTGGGGATTGGGAAGGGCGAGAGTCGATTGTACGCGATTATCGATAGTACAGCACATAAACGTAATAATCTGTAGGAGGATTAGTTTTTTCAATAACTCTTTAAATATTTAAATATTCTCCGTATAGTTCATGAAAATAATTAAAATTAGTGTTGGATACATTCTTCTTGAAGATCTTAGTTGATGTGGGCATTAAAAAACAAAAAAAAAACGCTGCAAATTATTCCACAATGGTTTATTATTTACAAACAATTATACATCTAAAGTAACATTACCTTCCTAGTTACAAAGAAAAATAAATAAAAGATGATTCCAATTATTGGACTAAACTTAATTTTTTAATCATTAGTAATATGCTAAAAAATATATCATTACACATTCAAAATTTAAAAACCAAACAAAGAATATAACATTTGGAGTAGAATATATTAAAAAAACAGGAGACCATATATTTGTTCGTAATTGTCCGATTTTAACGATTTTTTTTTTTTTTTAGTGGATTCCGTTAACTTATAAAAAACACAACAATATCGACAAAAAAGTGTATGCTTTTAAGTTATTCGGAATTAAATTTTACCATCCCTCGTAACTTTTTTCCCAGCTTCTTCTCGTTGAAGTATGTTATATAGATAAATTAAAGGGCATCAAGAATAAGACTTTAGCGAAGTTTCATTGAAATCGGTACATTCGTTTAAGGAGCTACAGTCTATAGAAACGCAGATTTTTAGGCCGCCATTTTGAAAGTAAAAGGCGGATAGTAATGTCGATGAAGGAGGATCATCATCGGGCTACCTTTGATTTTATATCCAAATTTGAAAAAAAATCGGTCCAGTAGTTTCGGAGAAAATGCGCGGACGGACAAAAAAAATTGTATTCGTTTTCCGGATTCTACGCATCCTGAAACGTGAAACCTCAAATTTTGAGAGGGGGTTAAGTTTTTGAATTTTTTCGGTCGATCACAATGGTTGATTATTGAAAATAATAAACCAAAATACAACTTATAAACACACAATTAAAAGTTTTTATTGCCTGAAAAATATATTTATATTGAAAAATAAATTACTTTCACTTCGATGAATATCAAATACGAATGAGATAACTATGCCGATATGTATTATTGTTTGAATTACTTACTAAAAAAAAAAGATAATGCGCATTGTAAATAACCTACGGGAAGTTAATTTTAAATGATTAGTTTTGGCGGGAATAGGCGCATAGCCTTCCGCTTTTATATCGGGGCTTAAGGTTATTTACACTCGTGAATCATTAAAACAAAACCCCGGCACTGGATATCGACTTTTTGAGGGTGTTTAACTGTGATTGGGAATTCGGGGATCTAATACCTTTTATGACACTGGGTGAGAAGAAACAATAAGAATATATATATATGAAATGTGGGACTTAGTAAACACTTTGAATTGACTCACCTGGTTCCCTCACACATTGTCATCTAAAGGGGTAAATACAGGGGGATGTCTACTACAGCATGCACTCTAATTTCTAAGACAGTAGTTTTCTAAATTTAATTTGACAATATGTAATCTAACAAAATTATGCTGCCATAATTGTAGATTTTATAAAACATATGATGCACTTATCACATAACTTCGCTCCATTCTAAATAGAAATTATTTTCTAGGAAAATGGGGATATTAAAAAAAAGTTTCTGAATTTAATTTTTAATAAAGCTAAACCTATTGTAAACTCTGGTCATATTCATCAATGCAAAAAACCATTAGGACCATCAAACCCAAACCCTATTTATTATATTTATTACGGTAGGCAATAAAAACCTCATAACTCTATCAGTCTATTTAAACCACGTAACTGCAGTCTCTGAGCTCTAAATGCAAAGAGAAATTTGAAAGTACATATATAATTTAATCAATAAATAATTAAGGACTGTAAAACAGTTGCACATTAGTAAAAATTATAGTAAATAAATATCTACCAGTTTTTACATGTATTTAAATTCATATCTTTTTCCTTTGAAAAATTTACCATAATATACTAGAGTTACGAGATTTTTATTTTCTGCCATCATTGGTCAAAAGTCGTCAAAATAATTTATGTGGATAGTGTTGTGATTTTACGGAGGAAAAATCCATGAAATTATTCTCTAATTTAATTTTGTGAAGTGTTACTTAATGATTTTTTTAAAATAAATTGACGAAATACACCTACAAAATTGCAAATAAAAAAAAATAAAACTGGCCAATTATCACCAAAAATTTTATTTATACACTATTTAATTCGACGTTTCGACCATACTAAGGGTCATTTTCAAGTCTTGATGAGTCCTCCGTTATATATTCATCATTATTGTCTCAAATAATATGTTCAGTGAACATTAAATTGTCATGGTCTATAGGGATTTCGCCTATATTCAGTCCCTCCAGAAATGACTGATGAGGTTAAACCCCTATAGACCATGACAATTTAATGTTCACTGAACATATTATTTGCGACATTAATGATGAATATATAACGGAGGATTCATCAAGACTTGAAAATGACCCTTAGTATGATCGAAACGTCGAATTAAATAGCGTATAAATAAAATGTTTGCTGATAATTGGCCTAATTTATATAAAAAAATAAAACATCAAGACACCAAAATTAGGATAAATGAACAGAAGAAAAAAAAACAAAAAAAAAAAACTCCCGAAATAGCCGTATCCATCCCAAGGACATCTAGTTGTATATATACACTGCCGGTCATAATTAAAATACTACGTCAATATTTTAATTATACTGAATTTTAATGGATATTTTTAAAGGGAATCTTTTTGAGTATGATAAAATAATTTATTAAAAGAAAAAAAAACTCAAGAAAACAATAAAAAAAAAAAATCAGTAGGAAGTTTCCCTCCCCCCTCTGGCCCTGATAACTGGCACAATTCTCCTGTTGGCTCCACCGACTAGTTCCTTACAACTTCTTCCGGGATATTGTTCCACTCTTCCAAAACATTCTTCTTAAATCAGTCAAATTTTGAGGGTATCCAGTGCGCACACGTCTTCCAAGCCTGCCTCATACTTGCTCTATTTGGTTCATCTCTGGACTTCCGGATGCCCCAGCCATAACCTCGATATCTTCGTGCTGGAGGTAATTTTGCACAAGTCGAGCAATATGAGTTCGGGCATTGTCATTCATTAAAATTTGCCCCTATATTTCTGGCAAAAGATTTCACGTGATGAGTTTCGGGTGAAAGCCGACAAAAATATAAATTAAATAAGCAAACAATTCGACTTGTTCTAACTCCTCATCCGTTGGTCCTATATCAAAAAACTATTCATAAAATTTATAATAGATTTTATTCCCTTTAACATTGTGTAGAATAATCATTTCGAAAAAAAACATAGTTTCGGATTCATGGTCAAAAAATTAAAATAAGTACGAAAAATTTCGCTTTTTTTGCAAATATTTCGGAACTCATCATCAGCCAAGGTGAATTCTCTTTTAGGAAGACATTCTTTACTTCATATCAAAATTTCAGCCGTCAGTGGTCCGTTAAATGACCAATGAAATTGGTCGGTGGAATGAACAGGAGAATTTTGGCAGTGATCAAGGCTAGAGGGGGAATGACTTCTGACTGATTTTACACAATAAACTGTGTTCAGGGATCAACTCCTGATACACTCACAAAAAAAAAAAAAAAATGAAGAAAACTGTTCTATATAATTTTGACTGGACCACCGTTTTATTGGCGTCCATTTTGATGCAAAGTTTTCCTGTACAGTTAATCCAAGCAATTGTTAAAGTGTGCACACTCTCATTTTATTTGACCGAAAAGTATCCTAGAAAAAAAAAACGAGTTGCTAATTCCCAAGGACACAGTCCTGTGGAGGAAGAAGAGAAGGCCAAGAAATGAAGCTAGATTTCAGACACCAAGTCAGTCCAAATTAAAAATACACTTTTAGTCTGAAGCAAAATTACAAAGTTGTAATTTCATCATCAGAAATATTTACTTCATCTTCCAAGATCAACAAAATTGTACAAGTGAACAAATTTTATTTTTTCTGTTTATATCCATTATAAATCCATTGGACTACAGATCTGAACTTACTAAATAAGCTACTAATCTACACCACCATACTAAGAACTATTTGGATATACGGAGCAGATCTTTGGGATTTCGCAAAACACATACACATAAACAAAATTCAAACCATATAATCCAAAATACTTCGTAAAATCGTCAATGCTCCTTGATTTTTTGAAATCAGACCCTACACAGAGACATGAACATACCAAAAGTAAAATCCTACATACACAACAAGTACACACCATTTCATTATTCTGCTCTCAACCATCCAAATCCACTCGTTCTATCTCTATCTTCCTCCCTGTTACTAGGTGAGGCCTAGGCAGTGGCCTAGAGATCTTCTGCTGACAAGATAAGCAATTATCAAGAATGGAAGAAGATAGAATAAACACCAATACATTTACTTGATGCGCTACAACGCAGTGGAAAATTTATTGGAAAATAAAATAAAATATCCATTATATACAAAATAACATTTTTTTTAATCATTAGTTGAATTTATACATGTGTTAAATTTCAGTGATCCAACCTCATACGGTCCATACCAATTCTTACAACAACTAACCCACTATTACCCGGAGATGTATATACATATTTTTCCGAAAACATTTACCGATTATAAGAATTATTCTCTCCCATAACATTTTATTTTTACTTTTCGTATCAGTTCGATATAGAAGTCATTTTTTTCCTAGTGTAATTATTGAAAATATTACTGATTTTATGATTACTCTATTGGGTATTTATATATTATCAATTAATTAAAACATCTCTGATTTCTTCGATATAAGTGGATGTAGGAGTACTCGTTCGAGTATCAAGGAAATAAATAATTAATACAGAATTTCGGAAACGAACTATGATGACTTTACATTCTGAGCATCCTCTCTCTCCTCCAGCTGTATATTGGTCCATAAAATCATTGGCTTGCTAGAAACGTAGCAGCAATTA